GTCTATAACAGCATGTTTCCATGTCAAAGGCCCCAAAGTGCATTATAAAGAACATAAGAAAAATAAACAAACAGCTTACTCCTCAGTGGAACACTGCCAACTTCGAGGTGAAACACAACATTAGAGAGAAGTTTGAAGAGGAACCAGAAAAGAACACCGTGTCCAGTTGACAGTAAATCACCCTGTCTGGATTTTGATCACAGGAATGTCTAATAAATCCTCACTGCTAAGTCTTCTACAATATCTAGTGGCATTATTCAATTTTCAGAAAGAAAAATGCACCGTGACCTCTTGGACCATTATGTTATGGACCATGCAGTGGTCTATTACTGGGACCATTACTGTCAGATTTAAAGACTAGACAAGAGTCACCCAAAATGGCCCAGCTTCTTGAGGATTTGTGCTCCCCCACAAACACAGGCCTCTAAGCCATCGTTGCACACACATCACAACGTCTCTTCTCTTCAACATACTCCCATTAAAGCTACCTGTTTGGAAAGCCTACAGCAAGAACACCCATGCAGAGCCAACCCAAGAGGGTACCTGCTCACAAGTCTGCTGCCCCTGACCAGCAGCAGAGGCTCAGGAGATGACTGTAAGACACAGCAGATGATTACAGCACCCTTGGTAGTACTGCAGTGTTAGCCAGCTCCTCCCAAAGGAGCCAAAACCAGTATGTTTGCAAACTTTCTTAGTCCAATCAGGCTGCAAACCCTGGAATCAAACTGTATCCACAGTAAGTGTGGCAACTTCCTTGGAGTCAGCAAAACTGCTCTTCACATAAAGAGAAGAAAACCCAAGTTCATCCATATTCTGGTAGACTTCATTATCAGTAACAGCCCAGAAGTGGGTCAAGTTCACCTTTTCAAGACACAATGATTTTACTCTTACTTCATGATATTAACAACAGAGACAAATACTGCAAGACAAATTTTTCCACAAGAGACTACTACTTGGCCTGCTTTTGTATGTCCCAATTCTGCATGTGCAAACTCTCTTGAATTTCACGTGTCTACACCAAGGATATATACACATGCATGGAAGAAAAAGGTTTGTTTTGTGTTTGTTTGTTTTTTAAAGACAGGTCTGGCAGGAAATTGAGGAAAAAACAAACAAGATTAAAGTATTTCAAACTACTGAAAGATCTTGTTTGTAGAGGACAACAGAGAAGGAGGAGAAGGACAATATCCATGTCAGAGCTCCATCGCTTACGATCAAAAGGACATATTAAGCAAGACTAAAAAATTCCAAAAAAGCAAGTGGATTAAAAAAGGATCAATTTTTCATTTTGTGTATGGTTAGTTTTGATCTTGGGTTTAAGTAACAGTGACATTCAGAAGTACACAAGAGAAACTAATGTGGTGTTCAGAGAATCAAGATGGAAAGGAATTTGATGCATAATGCGCCCGTTGAAAAAATCAAGGGCAAGGAGAGGAGTAAAAGATGGTTTAGAGAGCACGAAGCCTGGAATGTCAGGTGAAGGGCAAGAGGAGGAGAGAGAAAAGGTTCCAGTGAAGTTATGCAGTGACGTAAAACGACAAAAATACTTAAAAGGAAACACATAAAAGATATTAAGAAACTGAGTAACACGTTGGCATTAACTTAGCGAGCAGTATTTCACACAGGCTGCTGGGGAGCAATCAGGATGTAACAGAACAAGAGGCTGCACACAAGCCAGAAACATGTGCCCACAGTGATCTTGAGCTGTGGGAATCTGAGGGATGCTCCCCAAGCATTGTTTCTGCGTGTCCCCAGCACAGTGATGAGAGCTACCTGAAGTACTTTTCCATAACACCACCACAGTGGACTACAAACACGTCACAGGTCCTCCCTGCAAGCCACCACTGGATAGGCACACGGTACAGAAGGAAGTTGCAGCACAAGTAACACTGGACAAGCTCTAGACTTGATTGTGACTGATACAATTTTATTCTTTCCATTCCGAGACAGTAACTGAGCACTGACATTACACTTTTCCTCTTCCAGATCCTCACAGCTGATACCCCAAAAGAGAAGCACAATCTATGAGGAATTTCCCTTCTATTTAGTAGGTGGGTCAGATATGCAGCATCCACTGTCCACTATACCAAAGTCAGATGCGTTACCTTGGCCAAACCTCACCTGTGTTGAACACTTAACGATGGGAACAATTAAGCATTGCTCACAGTGACATACACGGTGCAAACACCGCAGCGTTCTTCACTAATGTCCTCCTGAGAAAGGACAAGTTCTCTCCCACCCTGGGAAAAGCACAGTCAGATCTCTACTGACACTGGTAGCAACCATAACTTCCTCTCCTCCCAAACCTTCAGCTCTTTTAACATCTTGAATCTACGTCTGGCCATAAACCTCAGTTTAGACAATAACACTGATGGAAAAGGCCAGGTTCCTAGTTTAATTTACCACTTTATCAGAGTTGATCATCCTTGACTCATCAGTGGGAACCAGTGAAGTGGGAGGTGAGAACTTGTAACGGTGCCTCACTTGTTTGGAGAAGTCCTACGGGGCCATCAGGAGTACAGCTTGGCTCCTACACAAAGCCCCAGACACAGTATTCCTCAGAATCCCAGTTTACTTCCCCCCACCCCATACTTCTGAGGGACTCCTGAAGTGCTGCAAGATGCACCTTGGCCTGTAAGGACTCATTATGCTGACAATACTTTGCTCAGTTTCTCCTTGATATCCAGCTGTGGTCAGGCCTCTCAGTGCTTTGCAGGGTTAGAAGCACAGGTAGAAATTAACTGGTTTAAACTTAATCCTGAAAGGATGATGGCAGTGATGGAGAAGAAAACATCCCGAGGCCCTGGTGAGCATTAGTTATGTCTTCTGCAAGAATAATTCCCATTCTTGTCCAAGTGGTTTGTAGTTTCAGGGATTTACTGGATCTACTCCTGATCCTAGATTCTCAGATAAACCTTCCATCTCCCACAAGCCTATGATCTCACCCCCTCATGTGTCTTGTTACAGCCTTCTCTACTTCATCCTTACGCTGCTATGGTGTAACAGCATTTCTAGGACCATCCCCAAAAACGACTTGAAAACAGGAGCAGAGCAGGAGATTTTATGGAAAAGGTCCTTTCTCCACTCACAGCCCAGCTCAGCACTAGCTATAGCACTCTACACTTTCTGTGACCAGACCTGTAATTAAACAGTGTTTTCCTCGTGGATTAATTACGCTGGCCAAGATTTTATCAGGCTCAATTGAAAGGACAGGACACACTGGTGTTACAGGCACCTGTTCTCAGAACCCAAACACCACGAACACTTACAAAGTACACACAAAACACATTCAAACATGAGCTGTGATACGCACACAAACCAGAGCAAAGAGGTCGCAGGAGCTGACCTGTTTTACACAGCCACGCTCAATTCACTGACCTGGAACAGCCTTTAATTAGGCATTTCCACACTCTTAAAACAACCACAGAAAGAATGCCCTTGCACAGAAATAAGAGATTTGCAAATTAAGTTTTCCAAACAAAATAGAGCAGAGCAAAAACTCCTTGAATCCATGAGGTGCTTACAGAGAAATTATTCCTACATGCCTTTCAAATATGGCACAGAGCCTCAAAGGTCTGAGGTAATGGCATTTCTGTACTTTGGGCTTTCCTAAGGAAACAGAAACTACAGTCAAAAACCACATTTGGAATCACTTCACTTCAGCCACCATGTTACCTCTGTGTCCTGCACAAGCTCCCACAACTTGCTGTATTCCAAGTGCTGAGCATGACTAAACTAACACACAGAGAGTCATATTGGTAGGAGGCTGTTCACAGGGGAAGGAAGATCAATAGGAAGATGCAGTAACGGGATCTAAGCAAACAGCACAGGCACACTCAAACACCCAGTTCAAACAGTAACAGCACATCCTGACCTGCTTCAAGGGAAGACCTAATTCCTTTAATGGATTAACTCCTCCACCCTCCCAGTCATTTTGCCTGTCACCTCCCAGGCTGATTCCTACCAAATACTTAGAAATGTGCAAATTTGTGGCCTTCAACTGATACTAACAACACTCCCCAGCTGGCAAGAACATTGTCACTGTCTTCATATGACCTGCATTCTCTCTGTCTCCAGGATTAAAAAATAATAATCCTATCTCCACAGAGTAAATCTAGAGCTGAAAAACTACCAGTCTGTCTTTCAGTCACATAGAAAGGCTATCTATATTTATTTCCCTGGTAAGATCCACTAGACAGAGGCAATGTGTTATAACATTATAAACAAAATTATGGTCCTGGAATAGTCAAAGAAAGCAAAGCCTGGCATCATCTTAAATGAGGAGTGTTACAGATTGCACCATCCCTAATCCAATTCAGGCAGGAGCAGAAAAGGCTGAAGCCACCAGCCTTCAAAGCAGCAACTATTTAGTTGTTTTGTGAGAAGAGCATGAATCATGAAACACAGCTACTGAGGTGGGCAGTAGTGTAAAAATTAAGTGTGGCTGGGCTGCTGGAAGGTGCCCAGATTTAGCACAATCTCCATCAGCAGAAATTCTGAAGAGTTATGACAATAAAACAAAGCTGTTTCCCCAAGAAGCAACCCTGAGGGAACACAGGGCCTGCTCTTCTGTGTACTGGCATCTCCACTGAGCCCCATCAGGGAATCAAGAGCTACCTCTAGTTACAGACAGAGGCAAAGAAGCAAGTTATTGAACTGCAGCTGAAACCTGCCAGAAAAGATCACAAAAACAGAAAAATATTTTTCCAAGAAAGCAAACAATAGCAAAAGTCACTGACTCTGATGAGAAGCAATGGACTGACAGCCCCAGAGAACCAAGTCCTCTCTCCTTTTCCTTGGTATGATACAAGTGATCACTAAACACGCTTCCTCACAGTACATTTTTCATCAATTTCTGGAAAATTAAGTCCCCAGCCTTTCTTTTCCACAGCAAATAAAGAGATTCAATACAAGGTTTATATGCAAAGAACCGTTTTACGAAGAACTGTTAGTCAAACACAATTCCAGCAATTCCAAAAGCAGTTGTTAACAAGTGATACCTGAAGGAATGAAGAATGTATAGCCTTGTTTCAGCTCAATTCTTTGGCATCGTTCCACCCTGTCTCCCAGAAAGATATCACTTTGCTTTCCTGAGAGAACCCATTCTTCATAAAGTTCTAGATTCTGCAGAGTAGGCGGAATCAGCCAGAAGATCTAAAAATAAAGATTTAACTATTACCAACAGTCAACAAAAACAAATAGCTGAGAGATTCCAACACGGTTATCACATGTTAGACAAATGAACACTTAACACCAAACCTGCTTTCTGCATAGAACATGTTTTCCAGGTGTTGTACACAGAGGCACAGAGCAGACAGCAGCAGCAATTAGTCCACGTGCTGGAAGTGGCAAAATAACTGTCAGTTGTCGTCTCTCTTCCATGAAACACCTTACTCAGAAGATGCCTGTACAGTTTGCTTTCTGTTCAAAGCAGTGTGTTGGTACAGTACAACTTCACCGGACTGTACAGAAGAACAGTATCAGTACCACAGAGATGGTCCATCTGCTGGATTTATTTCAGTTCCTGCCACACACTGTCTATGCTACAATTGGGAAAAGCAACCTAAACCAGTAAAGATGTGAACACAGCCACACATGCTGTGTAATTCAACGCTTCTGGGTCCTGTAACATTTAATATTTCAGTTCCAGCACAGTGTGCATGTGTACACTAAAGGAACATGGAATCTCCAAAAGGAAACAGGAGCTCTAGCTACAGCAGGAGACTTGTGAGGGCACTCTGACTCAACCAGGGTACACACAGCCACGTCCACACAGCAAGACACTTCTAAACCATGCAGCAACAGCAGGTCTAAAAACACCACCAGCAGCAGCAAACACCACAGCTGATATCTCAAATAAATCACTTGTTTGTTTCATAAATGTGAATGGTGTGTTTCTAGTTCAGCAAACTCTGTGCACATCAACAAAGCGAGCTGAAATAGACTGATCACTGACTAATCCCCCCACATCCCCCAACCCACCAAAAAAAAGATAAAAAAGAAAAATAAAGCAGCCCTTCCCCTCGTAAGAGCACAGAGAAATAAAGCCAAATATCAAATAAGGTTCACCTACCTTCCCCCCACGGAAAACGTGATACCACACTGAAGTGCCACCAAAATCAATATGAAAATCAGTGAAGCATCCTTTTACACTCATCAAACAGTACCTGTAAGCAGAGTGAAGGACAAAAATGAAGCAGTTTGAAACAGTACTTTTCCCACCTTAATCTGCAGAGGTTAACTGCATTTACGACACTGTTTCCACCAATTAAGTTTTTGCATTTGTAGTGCCAGGATTTGTCTCATGAAGTAACTAAAACTAGGTTTCTGCTGAAAAATGCATATCCTCATCTTTGAGTTTGCTATTCATACATCTGTAACAAAACCTTTCAGAGCTAAGGAATGAAAAAGCATTAAAAGTTACGCTGTTCAGAAATATTTCTTATGTCACTGCCAGTCCCCAGGGTGATCTGTTTAATGCTTTCTTCCTCCACTTGAGAGACACAAACTTCACCAAAAGTTGTACACAAATTCCTTCAAAGAGCAAAGTTTTGAAAAATCTTAATTTGCTTATAAATCCTCCTGAGTGTCCTTTACCTACTTGCCATTAATGCCATTTTTGCAAGGATTGGGTGAAACAAACATCATTTGGCAAATTAACTCCTTTTTGTTCACATTTCTAGGCATTTCTGCATCAAAACACATAAAGGAACCAGCTGGCAGCATCGCCAAGTATCAAATCCACTATTTTTTATGCCGTTCTGATTCAGGTTTTCAAAGCAGTTTAAAGTCAGCATCGCTGGAAAGAGACACAAGAGCTCTCATCTGGCTGTGTGAATCTCCAGCCTCCAGCCACCATCTGTAACTAATGGCCGAATTACAGCCGCCCTCCTCACTACAGGCACCTTTGCAAACGCAGGAAACACACACCACTTAACCCACTAACCTCTTTTCCTTGTTCCGGTCTCCGTTTCATTGCTTTTTTTTTTTGTTTGTTTGGTTTGGTTTTTTGTTTTTGGTTGTTGTTTTTTTTTTTTTTGGAAGGGTGTTATGGAAACAGTAACCAGAATGGGATTTAGGGAAAAAAGAAATAAATTTAAAAAAAAAAAAAGAAAAAAGGTTTCATTTAACTGTGTCTTTTTCTCATCACATTCAGGTAGAGAGAATCTCAGCAGTATGCAGACGGCGTGCAAAAGTCCCTCTAGATGATAGGCTGGAAAGGACCTTACCATGTGTCTGCAGAAGGCTGGCAAATCAGAGAGACTATAGGTACATAAGAGCCCGCTGCCTAGCAACCACATCCCGAGCTGGAGTTGACAGAATGATACGCAATGCTGTCATGAAGACAGTCAATTTGTGGGCTTCAAAAAAGGTCCTGCGCCTTCATCTCACAATTAAAACCTCTCCTTGTGCAATTACACGTCTCTCCTCTTGCCCACTCTGGAATTTTTTCATTTTTTTTTTCATCCTTCAGAAGCAGGAAGAGAGCTTTTTCTGCCCCTGGGGTATTTCAGATGCTTCAAAAATCACAGCTAGCCAAGAAGCTGTCTAGACTCTCAATATGCTCCATTTCAAAATATGAGTCCTTTCCTCCCAAATACATTTTTTTTTTTTTAAATTTCTCCTTTTATGTTTTCTCTACCAAGATGTTGTTGATTACAAGTCAGATAGAATTTAAAAACAATAAAAGAAGCCCAGGAAGGAAGTTGCTTTTCTTCCAGCCAAACTGCAAAAACTCACAGATTGAATAATTGTTCCTAAAACAAAAAAGCAACATGGAAATTCTCGGTTTGGGGGCAATGTTGAGTATTAGAGGTTCATGTTGTTTTAAAGTAAAAAATTCAAATCCTTATGGAATCGATTATTTTCAGTTTCTAAAAGGTCAGATGTAAAATATATCACACTAACAAAAATTTTCTGAGACAGTGCTACCTACCAACAACCATCCGTTCATATTAAGATATTCTGAAAGAACACAAATGGCCTATGCATTAGCCAGGTTTATTTATTCCTCAGCAGTCAATAATCTAAACCTGAAGCTGTCAATCTGTTTGTATTCAGAGAGGAAATAACAGGATTGAATCCTCTGTCAAATCAAAGTGGGGCTTAAAATTTAGTTTTGTGAGAAAACACCAAGGCAGACATAACTGTGAACACGCAACTCTCTTTTTTTCTCCTGGTTTTCCCCCCATTTTCCCCTCTGTTGTCTTGAAACTCCTCTAAACACAACATTTTCCATTCCAATAAAGGTGGCTCTAGTAAGAGAGTCACACATGGCGATTAATAAAAACCTACAAAGCATTTGGGGGGAAGGAAAAAAAAAAAAACCAAAAAACCAAAACAGTTTTTCTTTCCATCCACAAATGAGCCATTCCATATTTAATTTCTGCTGTTAATCTTACAGGGTTGTTTTTGTCCAACCTGAAGAGCTACCAAAAGGCTCAGGAGCCTGAAAAAGCAATCTTCCGCCATACAGCACTCTCCCTTGTTGCCAGAGTCTGGCACAATGCCTTTGCATTGACCTCTACAGCTTCCTCTTCCAATGTACACCGCAGTCACATGGTCCCAGCACAGCTCCATGCCACAGCTAATCTTATACACCGCTCGGCTCCAACCTCAGCAAGCGGCTTCTCATCACTAACAGCTGCTAATTTGGGGAACGACGTAACTTTTCAGGTTTTTCCATAAGAAAAAAACAAAAAAAAAAAAAGAGAAAAAGAGGGGAAGAAAAAGAAAAAGCAAAAGCCACAACACAGCATCCATGTTGAAAGAAATCTAGAAACTACATCCCACTGCGTGCTCTGGCCGCAGCGCTCTGGGCCAGAGCGGGTAAAGTGGGTTACAGGAACACAATCCCAAGTAGGGCATGGGGAGACAATCTGACCAGAGTTACACCCTGAAAAAAAACAGATGATGTAAAAGATGCCCCAACTTTAATTTTTTTCACAACTGCTACCACATCCAGACCCTGCACACTCCACTTGATCTCCCTGCACAGCCTCACTCAGGGTTTAAAACATGCAGCTGCTTGTAATCTGTTCTGGGGGAGCTTCCCTTCCCCACTGAAGAGTTTGTTTTATGCTCTCCAAAAGCCTGAAATGGTTCAAGTTAATGTATTGTTATTTTGGAGAAAGGATTCATGGTGTGGGGAAAAGGGGAACTTTTCCCCCAAAAATCCAGGGAAAATTTGTTAGGGAAATGATGCGAAGAAACATGGAGTAACCTGCAAACTCAGAAGGAAGAACAAACACAGAGATCTCCAGAAAAAGAGAGGGAGATGATACAAATGAAGCTAAACCACCAAGCAAACACAGAGAGCTGGGAACACAGAAACAACACAGAGGCACCGCTCCGTAAGCCAGCGCAGATACCATACTCCCAGGCAAACCCACAATGCACTCGCCACGCATAGCTACAAACCCGCAAGCAAACAGAGAAACAAAGACAGCGACAGACACGCCGGGATGCGGACGCACACACGCGCAGGCACACCGACACGAGCAGGGGAACGCAAAGGCGCAACGTACATGCACATGAACTCGGGGGAGACGCGCGAGCAGACGCAGAGGCAGCATTACCCTGAGCTTAGCTCCTTTTCTCTCGCAATAGGTACAGCGCACCATACGGCTCTATTCCCTCTGGCATTGCGAGGGCTCCCCTGCCACTGAGCTCAGCCCATAAACCACTCCCAAACCCCAGCAGAGGCTTCTGTTTTTTGTTCGGGCCAATGAGAAAAGTATAGCTCACTCTTCCTTCCTCCCAGGAGCAGCGCCGGCTGGTTGAAATCCCTAAGCCTGAAACCGAATACCACAAACCCATGAGCCAACTGCAAGTGCCAAACCGGGCAAAAGGAGCAGGCCCTGCTCCCTGCGTTCGCTCGCTCGCGCTCCCCTCTCCCCCAGGCCGGAGAGGTGCTCCCGGGCCCCGGGTGAGGG